GGACGGAGCAACCCAGTTGCTGGGTTGTGATGCTGTATATGGGGCAGGGGTCCCAGAGGAAACGATGGCACTTGCTCTACTCTCTGCTCAATTTCAGTCACTTCCCCCACTTCCCCCAAGCAAACTGGGCCCTTCTGGTGCTGATTCCTGGTGGATGGGCTTGTGTACAATCTAGGACCCTGTGGGTCTCTCCAACAAACTATCCTGTGAGGTTGGGAGTCTCTCCCAGCACCTCAATTCTGACAAGTGTTTTCAATCGGTGCTTTTGGGCTTTATTTCCTGGTGCTGGGGTCCTGGGTTGTGTGGTCTGTCTCACTGGCCATTTTTGCCTGGTTTACCTGCACTCAAATGTGGGACTGGGGTCAGTCAGCTGCCTTGTGCGCCTCACTGGGTCTGCTTGTTGCCACCCCAAGCCTGGGGTCTGCCAACTGCCCCCTGCACACCTGTGTCTGCCAGCCACCACTTTTTCCTGCCGGGACCCCTCTCTGCCAACCACCGACTCTGCCCCTCTTACCAGTCTCGATGAATGGTTGTTGGACTTCCATACAGTTTAATTTTCTGTCAGTTCTGGGTGCTTTTTCATTTCTAATTTTTTGTTGTTAATTTTGATTGTGCGAGGAGGCACCGTGTGTCTACCTATGCCTCCATCTTGGCTAGAAGTCTGGTATTAGCCTTATAATAATTCATTTAGCTGTATGGTTTTTTGTGTGTCATGTTCTATACTATATTTTGGTGGTTTCTTTCAAGAATAAAAAAGTAAAAAGAAAAGGAAAAAGTGCAAAAAAAATAACAGAGGATATGAAAACTTCCAGGAGCTATCTAAGGAAGAAAATTAATAGATTCTGACAAAGGGCAATAACAATGAGAATTTATATCTTTTCACATCCCCATTGTGGTAGTTTAGTTCATCCCATTAATCCCCCTAGTTATTCATTGTAAAATCACATACTCAGAAAGTGTTTGGACCTTTTTTTTTTCCAGAAAGAAATAGAAAAGAGTAGATTATATCATCCCTTTCTTTCATGCTTTTATTCACAGCATTATTTGTAACAGATTCTGCAAGATTCTGGGGCTATAATGATGAGTAGACTCACTACCCACCCCCAAGGAACTCACAACCAATCTGTGGGAGAAAGGGACCTCTAGAGATGGCCAATCAAAGGATGCAAAAGGCTAAAATCCCAGAGGGTTCTAAAAGGGGGAAGATTAGATCTCAAAGAGTATGGCCAAAACAGAGAAATAACTTGCTTAGGTCTACAGAGCTGACACCAAGAAACATGTTTAATGAATTAGTAACATGGTCTTCATTTGAACTACCACATGTAAAACAGTTTCCCATTACTTAGCTATGATTAGAGGGGAAAAACATTGTCAATAGCAGTTGATTGGAGAGAATGTGATATAGGAGGACTGCATGCGTAGTCTAAAGAGCATCAGTGAGGTTCTCATTCATAAGTTGGAGGAATTTGTGGCTGTGCACTTAGTGCTACATTTTATAACTTCCGTATGTTAATGTATTTTTTTGTTATAAAACCTTATATAACTTAGAATCTAGTAAAAATAGTGGCTGAATAACACAATGAAAATCATGTTACAGAGTAAAGTTTGAAAATTGGTATTTCTGAAATTAACTAACTTGCTTGTCACAAGCTGCTATTGAAGTCTAAATAAATAAATATATATATATATATATATATATATATATATATATATATATATATATATATATATAGTATATCAAGTTTTGAGGCCTGGAAGAAAGATATGCAGCTACTTTCCTGCCAGTATAGCAAAAATAGTAGCGACTTCCGGTAAAGATGGCAGCGTAGTAAGACATGACTTGCCTCTTCGCACAACCACATCAGAATTACAACTAAAATATAGAACAACCATCACTCATAACCATCAGAAGTAAAGCTGAATGGAAGTCTGACAACTACAGAATTAAAGAAACTACATCCATCCAGACAGGTAGTAGGGACACAGACATGGAAGGATTGGTCCCTCACCCACATGTGATAGATAAAAATTTGGGAGGGGTATTTCAGAAACAAGAAGTCCCAGCCCCACACCAGGCTCCCAAGCCTAGGGTTCCAGTGCCAGGAAGGTAAGTCCCTACAACTTCGGGCTGCAAATCCCAGCAGGGATTGAATCGGTGGAAGAACCTTCTGGAGCCCAAAGCAGTTCCTCTTAAAAAACTGACACACAAAAATCACCTGCTAAGATTAACTCCTTCTGAGCTCCAGCAATATGGTAGCACTTGAAAGACACCAGTGGCACACAGAAAAACTGAAGTATCTGGCATCAAGGCAGGCAGAGGCCATTGTCCTTTTTCTAAGCCCTCTCCCCAACCCACACACACACAGAGCTGGCAAATTTTGCCACATCTGAGACTCCACCAACCTGGCTCACACTGTTTGTCTGCCTTAGAGATCCCCAGAAACTCTTCCCCACCCAGCTTACAGGCCCACCCACACTGCTTTTCCACATGAACAGTTGGTCTTGGCTCATGACTCACAGCTTCCTAAATCCTGTCAAACAAGTAACAACTGGCCTTAGTGAACCCCAGGACCAGCACTAGCAGCAGCCAGCCTAGATTCAAAACTTGGCTTCACTTGGTAATATCTTAGCCTAGCACAAGTAGCAGCCATTTCAGCTTACTTTATAGCTCAAGAAGAGTAGCCCTGGGCCAAACACAGGTAGGGGATGACCTTGGTCTGCACCACCCAGGAAACACCCAGGAATCCCCAGGGCCAGTGCACCCAGTGTACAGCTACAGACCACATTACAGCACCACCACCCGGCCCCTGCACAGCTGATCTTGCACAGAAGGCTAAGGTTGGTGGTAAGTGGTCATAGCCAGTCCTTGCAGCTGACTGGCCTGGGTGAATCTCTCCCATTGATCCGCCAACAGAAACCAAGGCTCAACTACAAGAGGAGGGTGGACTCAGCCCACACAAAGGGAACACCTCAAGTACCCTCCTTGGGTTGTAGAGGAGGCTGTGCCACTGGACCCTACCAGGTACTTACTACATTAGGCCTCACTACCAAGACACAGAGCCAAAGCAGCTGTACCTAACACACAGAAACAAATAAAGGGAGGCTGCCAAAATGTGGAGACAAAGAAACATGGCCCAAATGAAAGAACAGATCGAAATTCCAGAAAAAGAGTTAAACAAAATGGAGATAAGCAATCCATCAGATGCAGAGTTCAAAACACTAGTTATAAGGATGCTCAAGGAACTTAGTAAGGACCTCAACAGCTTAAAAAAGATCCAGTCAGAAATGAAGGATTCACTCATTGAAACAAAGAATAATTTACAGGGAAACAACAATAGAGTGGATGAAGCCAAGATTCATATCAATGATGTGGAACTTAAGGAAGCAAAATACAACCAATCAGAACAACAAAAAGAAAAGAGAATCTGAAAAAATGAAGATAGTGTAATCAGCCTGTGGGACAACTTCAAGAAGTCCAACATTTGCACCATAGTGGTACCGAAGGAGTGGTACAGAAGGAGAAGAGAAAGAGCAAGAAATTCGAAGTCTATTTGAAAAAAATAATGAAAGGTAACTTCCATAATCTGGTGGAGGAAATAGACATGCAAGTCCATGAAGCATGGAGAGTCCCAAACAAGGTGGATGCAAGGAGGCCCACTCCAAGACACATCATAATTAAAATGGCAAAGGTTAAACACAAGGAGAGAATCTTAGAAGCAGAAAGAGAAAAGCAGTTAGGTACCTACAGGAGAGTTCCCATAAGACTGTCAGCTGATCTCAAAAGAAACTTTGCAGGCTGGGAATTGGCAAGAAGTATTCAAAGTCATGAAAAGCAGAGACCTACAGCCAAGATTGCTCTATCCATCAAAGCTATCATTTAGAATCAAAGGGCAGAAAAATAGTTTCCCAAACAAGAAAAAAACTAAAGGATTTCATCATCACCAAACCATTATTATATGAAATGTTAAAGGGACTTTTTAATAAAAAGAAGATCAAAACTTTGAACAATAAAATGGCAAAATATACAAATCTATCAACAATTGAATCTAAAAACAAACTAATTAAACAAGAAGAACAGAGACAGAATCATGGATATGGAGAGCATTTTGATGGTTGCCAGATGACAGGTGGGTATGAGGGATAATGGGTGAAGAGGTGAGGGGATTAAGAAGAACAAATGGGTAGTTATAGAATAGCCACAGGAATGAAAAGTACAGTATAGGAAATGAGTAGCCAAAGAACTTATACACATGACTCATGGACATGAACAATGGTGTGGGGATTGCCTAAGGGAATGTGAAGGGCTGGGGGGAAAATCAGAACAACTTAATAGCATAATTAATAAAATATAATTTAAAAAAAGAATATTGGCAAATGTGACCAATATAGTAAGAATATTAGCAAATACTATTATTGCATTAATATTAAAAACAGCCCTTTTCAAAGCCCATCCTCAAACTGTCTCATTTGAATTTCACAGAACCCTTACATGGGATACACTGCTAAGTCCACTGAGAAGGACACATGACTCCCTCAGACATCTCAATTAATGTAGATGACAATCGACTAATTCCCACTCTGCCATTACTCCCCACCTTCTCGTGCCCTTGTGCCCTGAACATTTCTGTATCATAAAATGTGGTGGATGCCAGTAGCAGTTAATCATTTACTGCATGGCTACTGTGTCAAATATAGGCCTTATGTTAATGCTTTACGAACATTATTTTCTCTAATCCTCACAATAGTCCTAAAAGAAAGTGGTGTGGCATATGAGAAGATGGAGACTCAGAAATGTCCAATCACATATGGAGCTGGTTGCAGAACCAACACCAGAACCCAGGCCCATTTGACACCAGAGTCGATGTTCCTAACTATTGTATATACTGTCTCCTGCATAATAAATAATAAATAAACAACCATCTTGAAAACCTTTCCAGCTTCTTCCCAAACACCAACTGGGACAATGTTCACAAAGATCCCATTCTAGACGACCCACTCACCAGCTGGATATTGGGTAACGATTCCTTCACAATGAATGTCATTTCCTTTAAGATATCCGAGTCGATGCTTTCAGACAGTTCGTAGAGTAGGTTTCTAAGACAGACACCCAAAGAGACAAATGAAGTCTCACACTTGAAGAGGACAGCACAGTAAATCAAGTGCTTTCACTTATGCTCCCTCCTACGTAAATGATCACAACCCTGTACGTAGGCAATTATTAATCCAACTCTATAGACCACAAAACTAAAACTTTGAGCTTCAGTGTGACCTATTAAATTTGGATAACAGAGTAAGCAGTAGGGACAGGCTTTCTGATTCCAAGTCCAGTGCTACAAAAACAAAAAATACAATTATGGCCTTTCACCTGCAACTCCACTGCAGAAATGATGCCAGGCAATGTAGAGTCTACTATTGAAAAAGGAAGGACATTCTCCCAACTTCTGGATAGCCATATAATGAATAACCAGACAAACTGAATATTTCATTCACACACTAATGTCTCTATATGCCAGAGACCATTCCTTGGTCTCTGAAAAATCAGTTGTTTAACAACAAAGTGGAAAAAAATGGTTTCCAGAATCCCCCTCACTGACCCAAGGATAGCTCAGATTCTGTAAGCCAGTCCAAGTGTTAAAGCCTGGACATAATTGCCCAGGCAATTAAGTAAAATAACACTTTGAAGTGTCCTCCTTGTAAAGTTCTCTGTAGGTACTACATCAGTGGACAATTTAAAAGTGATGTCTAAGGTCTGACCATGATAGGCCTGATGTCTATATTTTACCTCTCCATGCTCCCCGCCCAAAACGTAGCTGGACATGGCATAAATGATAACCCTCTCTACCCTAGAGACATCATTTTCACTTTGCTTAATTTGCTCCAAGGTTGCATTCTTCTCAAATAACTGAAGGCAGACACACCCAGTGGCTCACAGAAGAAAGGATACCGGAGACTGGAAAAGAGGAAAGTGTAGGCTTGCTGTGCTTAAGCTTCCCTTGGTAGCGAGAAATGAAACTATGGGAAGCCACTGCTAGACCCTGAGAGGCGTGACCTCTCCTCTCATTAGTACCTAGAGCTGAGAGATCTCCTAGTATAAATCACTGTAAAATCCAGAGGTAGATAAGAAAGAGATCTTAATCCTGGTCTCCTTTCAAATCCCAATGACCTGAATGAACACAAAATGGAAAACCCTCTTTTCTTGATTACAGACTCCTCCTCACCTGAATGGAGAGACCTTCTTCAGAGTGGGCAGCAAAATCCGTACTTGCTCTTTGGTGTAGTTGAGGTGCTTCAGCAGTAAGGGCTGCTTCATGGTGTAGAGGAGTTCTGCTAGGAAGAAGGGCTCTTGCTCACTCAGCAGCTCCTTTGTCATGAGAAGTTCAAAAACATCTAAGGCTGAGCTGGACCTCTCCAGCTTTTTCTGGGAGATGAAATCTTGGCAGAGAAACTTTAATTGTTCTACTTCTTTATCTCCCAGCTGTGAATCAATAGCCAGTAGCCTTCTGCGAAAGTTCCCTGCACTATTATCAAATGCACTGGAAATCCAATTTTGACCTTGAACTGACATGGCCAGTCTGAAAGAGATGGAGAGGTGGGGTTGTGGGTTAGAGAGTAAGAACACAAGGCACCTCGACTTCCCAGGCCCTCTCCCAGTTTCAGTCTCCTCTGCTCCAGGCACTATTCCTAGAAATGCAAAAAGTAAAAATTACTGAAATAAGAATTATTGGGCAGTTACTTAAAAAACCAATAACCCAGAAAACTCAACTCTAATACTTGTATGTTAACTCTTTAGGAGGTCTGGAGGGAGATTTTCTTGGAACTCATTTACCGTGATTTCTCTGAAATGGAAATATCCACCAGAGAAGCCGGTTGAAATGGAGGCCAACTCAGCACAACGGCTCCTGGTTGGAGTCCCGGTTGGAGCTCTTAATTCATTCCCACCAAATGACAGAAATGGCACTTAGATCTATGCCCTGCATTTTAGAAATAAAGCGATCTGGAGGTGTATATTTCTGAAGTGCCTACCAACCCAAGACAACAAGGTAACATTGTTAACCCTAATGGGACAGGTATGTAACCCACAGGAAGAGCAGCCATCAGCCGAGATCCCAGAGACAAGGGAAGTTTTAGACAAGAGTCGCTCAAATCAATGTAGAAAGTCGCAAATTAACCAATATTCCCACATGACCAGTTCATAAACTGTGGTATTTTCTACATTGAATTTTATTCTAATAAGAGGAGCAATAAACTGATAAAAAAAATTTCGGTGTAGTATTATTCATAATATAAGGACAAGGTACGTAGTCACTATACAAAGCTTGGCTATTTAGAATTTTTGGTTTTTTTCTGATGATATAAGTAATATGTATTCATTGCATAAGATTTGAAAAACTCAGACAGGAGCCCTGAAAAAATTTTATATTTTATATAATTATATCAGCTAGATATAACCACTCTTTGTTATTGATGTTTTATTTTTGCTATGTTCTCTTTGCTTTAGAAAGTAGTTTCTTGCTTCTAACAAGAACATAGCAAAACAAAACATCGATAACAAAGAGTGGTTATATCTAGCTGATATAATTATATAAAATATAAATTTTTTTCAGGGCTCCTGAGTTTTTCAAATCTTATGCAATGAATACATATTACTTATATTATCAGAAAAAAGAAACCAAAAATGCCATTTTAATGTGATCACCCATGGGGTCCTGGTTTCTTGGAGACATCTTCCTTTTCTAATATATCATATATTTGCCTTGAAATTTTCTGAAGGACCTAAATCTTTCAGCCAGACTTCGTCTCTTATTTGTAGATTAGCATATTTCTGCCATTAAAGGCTATGCCAGAGCCTTCCTGGGGCTTTTTAAACTTTCATTTTCCCTGGGAAGGCTGATAAATCCAGGAAAAAATAGCACCACTACTGAAACAAGAGTTTCTGCAAGTTTCTATGACATAAAGTGAGGGAAAATGCTGGCGTCTAAGACCCCAGTGGGAGAAAGGTGTTAATTACATACCTTCAAATGAAATTCCACTGATCCTCTGGAGGCAAGTGGTTCTTAGGGATATTGCCTGAAAACAAAGTTTTGAAGAAATTAGAATCCTCTGTGTGCTCCAAGTCCTAAGAAAGTTCCAATTGACGCGGGAGAAAACTTAAGACTTGTTGCTGGCTATGGAAATGAAAACCGGATCAGGCTTGAGATTGGTTTCCTGCTGATGTCACCGCTGACTTTCCCATCCCGCCCCTGGCATTAGGATGATCCTAATGAAACAGCGCCTTCTAAAGGCATGACCGCAACTTTCCCACATTAGAGCTCAGGACCTGTTTCCCTGGTAAAGGGGGTCTCTCTTACAAATGAACTCCTAGAAGGCACTTGTGTTCTGACCTTCCCCTTGGGTCACTCACCTCCCTCCCTCAGTCAAAGAGGAAAGTGTCCATTTTTTCAACCACCTCCTTCCCCAGATTCACTTAAGTTTTAAAATAAAACCCAGAAGCCCATGAATAGTAGTAAGCCATCTTAATCTTTTCTCAATAAGTCCAGGTACAAATAAACAAACACAAAAATTTAAGGCAAAAAAGAGAAGGAGGAGTGAAAACAAGCCAATTTCAGGTATGTGCAAGGAACTCAACAAACAATGGGTAAAATTCATGAAGTCTCTGCCCTCACAGCATTCAGTACAGCAGGAAAGACACTTTGAAGACGTTATAAGAATAAAAACAATACCTAACACATACCACAATTACTAGGTGCCAAGCATGCTTTATTCACTTAATCATCCCAAGTTTCTAAGGTAAATATTATTATTGAGGCCCCCTTTTCTTGTAATCCTTGCCCAATGATATGCTTATTGATTTTAGAGAAAGAGAAGGGGAGAAAGAAAGAGAAATATCAGTGTAAGAGAAAAACGTCAATTGGTTGCCTCCCATACACACTGACTTGGGAATGAACCTGCAACCTAGGTATGTGCCCCGTCCAGGAATCAAATCTACAGCCTTTCAGTGCATGGGATGATGGTCCAACAAACTGAGTTGCCTGGCCAGGGCCATGATCTCCCATTTAAGACATGAAAACTAAGACACAGAAAGGTTAGGTAGTTTTTCCAACATCACGAAATGACCTAGTAAGAAAGCCAAAACTTAAATCAGTGAGTTTGGCTATAAGTCACTGCACTTAGCTAATTCGAATGTGCTAAGTCTGGGAAGAAATATAGAATCTTAGAAAGATATTTTATTTCTGAATAAAAGTAAAATTATGATGTTTAATTAGCAAATGTGTTGAAGTGCCATTTCTGTATCCTAGGCATCATCCAGAGAACTTCAGTGTTTAAGAAAGACAAACCCTAGTGGTGATGGTTGCACAACAATGTAAATGTAGTTAAATCCATGAAATTGGTAAAACCCTCCCATTACATGTCAACAGCAATCAAGACTCAACTACAACAGGCAAGGATACACAGCCCACACAGGGTGGGGGTGGGGGACCTGGAGTCCAGCTTTGGTGATCAGAAAGGCTGTGCCGCTAGACCCTACAGAATACCTACTACACAAGGCCATTCTACCAAGCCTGGGAGACATAGAAGCTCTACCTAACACGTAGAAACACACACAGGGAGCCTGCCAAAACCAGGAGACAAAGACACAAGCCCCAGACAAAACAACAGGAGAAATCTCAAAAAAAAAAAAAAAAAAGAAGTGAATGAAATGGAGGCAAGCAAACTACTACCAGATACAAAGGTCAAAACAATTTTTATAAGGATGCTCAAGGAATTTAGCAAGAACTTCAACAGCATAAAAAAGGATGTGGAAACCATAAAAAGGAAGTAGTCAGAAATGAAGGCTACTTAACTGAAATGAAGAATAATTTATAGGGAATCAAAAGTGGAGTAGATGAAGCTGAGAATCAACTCAGTAATTTGAAATATAAGAAAAAAAAACAATCAGAACAGCAAAAAGAAAAAAGAATCCAAACGAATGAGGATAGTGTAAGGAGCTTCTGGGACAACTTCCAGCATACCAACATTTGCATTATGGGAGTGCCGGAAGGAGAAGAGAGAGCAAGAAATTGAAAACCTATTTGAAAAAATAACATAAATCTTTCCTAACCTGGTGAAGGAAGTACATGTACAAGTCCAAGAAGCACAGAGTACTAGACAAGATGAACCCGAAGAGGTCACACCAAGACACATTATAACTAAAAGGCCAAAGCTTAAAGACAGAAAAATCTTAAAAGCAGCAGGCCAGAAAGGATTAGCCAGAAATATTCAAAGAAATGAAAAGCAAGAACCTACAACCAAGATTACTCTACCAAGCAAAGCTATCATTTAGAATTGACGGACATATTAAACAGGTTCCCAGACAACAAAAAGCTAAAGTAATTCATCACCACCAAATAGTATTACACTAAATGCTAAAGGGTGAAGAAGAGGAAGAAGAAGAAGAAGAAGAAGAAGAAGAAGAAGAAGAAGAAGAAGAAGAAGAAGAAGGAGGAGGAGGAGGAGGAGGAGGAGGAGGAGAAGAAGAAGAAGAAGAAGAAGAAGAAGAAGAAGAAGAAGAAGAAGAGGAAGAAGAAGAGGAAGAAGAAGAAATAAATAGCAATAAATATAAATCTATCAACAATTGAATCTAAACGAATAAAATAAATGAACAAACAAAACAGAAACAGACTCATAGCTAGATACAGAGACTATTTTGATGGTTCTCAGATGAAATGGGGGTTGGAGGGATGGGTGAAAAAGGTGAAGGGATTAAGGAGTACAAATTGGTTGTTACAGAATAGTCATTAGGATGTAAAATATAGCATAGGAAATATAGTCAATAATATCTAATAACTACGTATGGTGTCAGATGGGTACAAGATTTGTCAGGATGATCACTTAGTAAGTTATGTAATGTCTAATCACTGGGGTGAACACTAGAAACTAATATAATATTGCATGTCAAATGCAATTAAAATAAAAATGATTTAAATTTAAAAATAATAAAGAGAAAATGGATATAATAAGGTCCCTAAATACAAAATAATATGTATATTTTTTAAATCCTAAAAGTAGGTTTTGGATAAAGATTTAGAGAATTTCTGATTCCATGAACAATAAATATCTGTATGGTATTTGCATATAGAGATGAAAAATGGTTAAAATGGTAAATTTTATGTTATGTGCACATTAGCACAATTGGAAAAAAAGATAAAGATAGACAAGACCTCAATCTTGGTCTTCTATTCAATTGTTCAACTATAAATATTTCATTCCTTGGGCCATATCAGGAGGCAGTTTGGTGAAACTATCACTCTTAACTTGCTCATAGGTTTTTCAATTATTTTAAATATTTAGCAAGCTCTTCTTATGTGTAAAGCACTGAATTAGGCACAGTTAGAAAGAAAAGCTGGATAAAACACAGTGTCTGCCTTTTATAATAACTATTATTACTACCATTGATTGACCTCTTGTTTTCTGATGAACTGTCTGAAGTCAGCACTATTTTACACATTCAATATTGTGTAAATCAAAGCTCAGAGCACAAAATATCTTGCCATCATCCCAGATCTAGGAGGAGGTGGGAATTCAGGATTCAAACCTGGGCCTCTCTGATTCCCAATCCCATGCTCTTGATTCCAAGGCTATTTATGATATAATATAATGTCTGTAACTGTTGGGGAGGGTGATGCTGCAATGAGGCTTCACTCAAGTGCTACAGGAGACTCAAGGAGCAAGGGATGAATCCAGATGGGGCTGCCTCGGAGGAGGAGGTATTTGAACTAAGCCTAGAAGGTAGAGACAGAATAGAGATACCTGAAGTAAACTTAAACCTCTCTGCTAGTGCTCCTAGTACTCAAGGGAAACCCTTGAACCAAGCTGCAGAGGCGAGATTGTGTGCCATGTGATTCGTATTCAGCATGTTAGCCTTCCTTCCATTTAGAACATAATTACCGAGAACATACCGATGGTGAGCTGGTGGAAAGAATAAACATTTCTTAGCACCTGTTTCCTGACTGGGTCCACATGAAAAGCCAACCACAATCTTTATAGTCTCATAGTGGTGGGAGTCAACTACCGCCCTGGTGACAAAGGGGAAACACTGGACAGATTCTCTTTAGTTCTGCTTCGTGAGGGGATAGTGGTGGTGGCAGTAGTTGGCTTCCTTTTATATCCAGACTCTGGTCTAAATCCCCACCCTCAAAGAATATAAAGGGGACACATGGAACCTCAACTTCCCAGGCCCTCTCCCAGTTTCAGCTTCCTTTGTTCCAGGCATTAGACTTTTCTAGAAGTCCTGAAAAATAAAAATTAGTGTGCAGTTACTTCAGAAACCAATAGCCCAGAAAACTCCACCCCAATGATTGTAAGTGAACTCTCTAGGAAGTCTGGAGGGAACTTTCTTTTGGGACTCACTTACCCTGATTTCTCTGAAATCTAGCTAGAGCTAGATGACCTTAGGGCTTGGAGACGGGCAGCAGGCTGTTCTTCCCTACTACGCTCTCAGTCACTTTATTCATGCCTATTTTTATCTGGAGTCTACCGGCTAAAGGTCGGGTTCTGAGGCTGAAGCTTTCAAATGACCCTAGTTCTAACATAGCTTTCTTCAGTTTAATCAGTAACTTTTATAACACTCTGTATCTAGTTCTATCATTTTATTTTTTTAAGAATTTTTTAATTTATTTTTTAATTGATTATGCTGTTACAGTTGTTCTATTCCCCCCTTCATTCCCCTCCACCCTACCCCCGGTCCCCACCATTACCCCCCCTTTAGTTTATGACCATGTGTCTCAAGTTCTTTAGATTCTATATTTCCCATACTATTCTTGCCCCCCCCATCTATTTTCTATCTACTGTCTATGCTACTTATTTTCTGTATGATCATGTTCAAATTCAAAGGAACCTTGAGAAAGTCATGTAAGATACTCTCCCCTCCTGTGAAAATTCTTAAGGGGACTTTTGAAACTTCCCCCACAGAGGTAGGAAAAGCCACAACCAAAAAGTTACCATTCCTTCCACTGCGTGACTATAACGGTTACTGTCACAGAATCTGTACTTCCCAAGATAAAATTCATGAGGGATGAAAGTCTGTGGACTCCTGTGGTGGGGGCAGGTGGTCACTTCAGTTTCCAGTACCAAAAACTGAATGGGCGAGAGTTCAGGGATGGCAGGGTAAAGATGTGGGAATTGATCTGGATATCTGCAGAGGGAGCCGAACAAGCAGGAAATATCTCAAAGGAAAAGATAGGAAACAAATGGTAAGCTGAATAGAACAAGTCTGAAATCTGAAGAGATGACAATGTCAAACTTTAAAACAAAGTTTGGGAATCAAAGTGGAAAGGCAACCTAAAGAATGGGAGAAAATATTTGCAAATCTTATATCTGGAGACTAGTATCCAGAATTTATAAATACTTACAACTGAACAATAAAACAGGTCCTTGAACAATAAAACAAGAAGACTTGGCCAGAGAAGTCCTTGATACAACTTATATAGTAAAAAATATCAATAAAAAATGGGAAAGTGTTTGAATAGATGTTTCTATAAGGAAGATATACATATGACTAATATGAACATGAAAAGATGTCCAACATCATTAGTCATTAGGAAAATGCAAACCAAAACCACAATGGGCCCTGGCCAGGTGGGTCAGTTGGTTGGAGCGTGTTTCCATAGGCCAAAATGTTGCAGCTTTGATTCCTGGTCAGGGCACAAACTAGTCTGCAGATTTGATCCCCAGGTCGGGCGTGTAGAGGAAGCAACTGAACAATGTTTCTCTCTCACATCAGTCTCTCTCTCTCTCTCTCTCTCTGTCCCTCTCATCAGTAAACATATCCTCAGGTGAGGATTTTAAAAACCACAATGAGATACCACTTCATGCCCAGCAGGATGGTTATACTAAAAAAGACAATAATAAGTGTGGACAAGAATGTGGAGAAATTGGAACTCTCACAAACTGCCGGTGGGAACGTAAAGCAGTGCAGCCACTTAGGAAAGCTGTTCGGCACTTCTCAAAAAGTTAAATATAAAGCTGTTCTATGACCCAGCAATTCCACTCCTACCTATGTACCCAAGAGAATTAAAAAACATATATCCGCACAAAAACTTATACATGAATACTTATAGCAGCATCACCGGTAATAGCCAGAAAGGTGGAAGCAATTCAAATTTTCATCAATAGATAAATGAACAAAATGTGGTATATCCATACACTGGAATATTATTCAGCCATAAATGAAATGAAATACTGACATATTCTACAACATGGATGAAAACATTATACTAAGTGAAAGAGGTCAGACACATAAAGTCTTATGTTGTATGATTCAGTTATATGAAATATTCAGAATAAGCAATACAGAAAAACAAAGTGGATCAGTGGTTGCTAGGGACTAGGAGCGGGATGAATAAGGCATGGTGACTAAAAGGTAAGGGTTTCTTTCTTTCTTTCATTCTTTTTTGGGGGCATGGGAGAGAGAAAGGGAGACAGAGACAGGGATTGTTTGCTCCACATGGTTGTACGTTCACTGGCGGACTCCTGTATGTGCCCTGACTGGGGATGGAAGCCCCAACCTTGGCCTATCTGGACAACACTCTAACCAACTGAGCTACATGGCAGGGCAGTATGGGGTTTCTTTTTAGATAGATGAACATGTTCTGAAATTAAATCATAGTGATGATTTGTGACTTATATCTCAATAAAAAAAGATTTAGGATATGCCACCATCAAGTCACAACCTTGTGATAGCTCATTTTATTTATCAACTCGATGATTAAGGGATGCCCAAAGAGTCAGTATGTATTATTTGTGGGCATGTCTGGGAGGGTGTTTCAGAAGAGATTAGCATTTTCCGTCAGTAGACTGAGTAAAGAGAATCCACTCGCACCAATGGGTGGGCAACATCTAATCCAAGAAGGGGCCAACAAAAAGGAGGAAGGGCAAATTCTCTCTTCTTCTTTGATGAGGATGCTCACCTTCTCCTACTCTCAGGTACTGGAGCTCCTGGACCTCTGGGCCCTTGGACTCCAGGACTCATAAGAGCAGTCTTCTCCATGATTTCACTCCTCCACACCATCCCTCATCCCACCCTCCAACCACAGTCTTATTGTGTATGCACTGGAAAATCTTTTTATCAAGATTTTTTTAAGTCTATTTATTTATTTTTAGAAAGAGGAGAAAGAAGGGAGAAACACAGGAAGAGAAATATCAATGTTTGTGATACACCAATTGGTTGCCTCTTGCACTCCCCCAAATGGGGGACCTGGCCTGCAACCCAGGCATGTGCCCTGACCAGGAATTGAACCGGCAAACTTTTTGGTTTGTGGGATGACTCCCGACACACTGAGCCACACCAGTCAGGGCTGCACTGGAAAATCTTGAAGGTTTTGAGGAGGGAGGTGACAAATCTGCATTTAGGGATATTCTTTGGGTTGCCATGTATGATTGTAGAATATAATAATGGTAGGATTGAGAAGCTAGGGGGAAGACAAGTGAGAAAGCCATTACCTTGGTTCAATGAAGAAGCCCACTATGTTTACTGCAGCCTTATTTACAATAGCCAAGATGTGGGAACAACCTAAGTGCCCATGAATGGATGGAGAGATAAAGATGTGGTACATATTTCAGTGAAGAGGTAATGAAGGCAGGGAAAGTATACTGATGGAGAGAAATGAAAAAGACATTATAGGTACAAAACCAACGTGATTTGGAAAATTGTTGGATGTAGAAACAGAAGAGAAGGTGGAGGAGGGTGAAAATGATGTTCCGAGTTGTGATTAACTGGCAACAGGAAGAACTATTTGAATAGAGGCTGTTTGCTTGTTTGCTTGTTTGTTTGTAATGTCTGTAGTAGGTTGAGTTTGAGGTGACAGAAGGAAACTCTAGTGGAAACATCTGCCATAAAGTTGCAGAGTGAGATTTAAACTTAAAGAGATGAATCTGGGCCAGAAAGATACATCCTGTTAGAGGCATGACAGTAGTAATTTAAGCTACAAAGTTGTCAACAGAAAAAAAGAAAAAAGAAATGATCCTTGGGAAGGATCATTTAGAGATCAGGAAGAGAAAGATCCCAAGAAGACTTGGCCAGAGAAGTCCCTGATACAACTTATATAGTAAAATACCCTGGAGGAGGAGTAGAAAGGGGACAATAACCCCATAGAATCCAAGGACCACTGGTTTGGTAGTTAAAGTCAATGGCACCCTTGGATCCTGTAGATTTGGTAGAATGATTAAGGTGAAATCCAGATAGCAGGAAAGAATGAAGTAAATGGGAAATGCAGAAGTGGAAGAAGTCGATACTTGCGTAAAATTTACATAAGACAGTGGTTTAAAAGAGAGAAACGTTACTTGATAGAGGAATCAAATCTTGGCTAGACTGAAGAATCAAAGACAAAGGGAGATATTAATGTTATAAGATAGTCTAAATAATGCTCAGTCTTGAGAGAGGATGAGGTATGCCAGAGAGGGACTAGGAAGGGCATGGGATTCCTAGGTCTAGGGTAGGAAGTTCTTACCAAATGAGGGCAAAAAAGAGCTTTTTCATATCATCATTTAATCAGTGAAAAACTGAACGGCTTAAATATCATACAAAGACATAGAGATATAGACATGATTCCATGAATGAAAGGAGAGAACACAGTTAAAATAATATTTTACTATTTATTTCAAAATAGTTTGAAATAAAATAAATACATTATGTTTATATATATTAGAAACTAAGCTACTTAACAATAATTTTTATTTTTTAATTACAATAATATACACTCTGTATAAAACAAAACAAATAATACAATTAATACAAATAATACAAATTTACTCAAAATTCCCTATATGTACACATCCCCGAGAGTACATAAAAATTTAATAATTAATTTCTGCTGTACAACACAATGACTCATCATTGCACACTTCTGAAACTATCAAGATATTTTAGTTAACATTGAAAGTTTCAGAGTTTTTTACATCTCTGGATGTAAAGTGAGAATGACTTCTGCTCACCTTGATGTCAGACAGTTCAGTTTCTCCTCGTGTGTGGCCCGTACTTTTCCAGCGCCACTCCACTGCCAGAGCTTTAAGTGAGCGAGTCTGCATAGGTGTGTATGTCAGTTCTTTAAGGGGAACTGCTTGGAGCTCCAGCAGTTTCTTCTCCTGACTCAATCTCTACTGGTTTTTGCAGCCAGAAAAGTCATTGGCTTTTCAATTGCAGGAGAGGATGAGTTCTTTTCTCAGGGTATGCTGTAGACTGACGTAATACCTCTCCTTATCGGACACTCCTCTGTTCCAGTTATATACACTGTTATGCAGTTCAATGTGGAGTTCCACAAGTGGTCGTCTTCTGGAGGGAAGAAGAAAGGCAAAGATTAATGCCATGCAAATATCAAAGATGAGACAGATTGTCATTAGGATGAAATGAGCCAACTGAGGTGAAAGCACTTTGAAATTGCTCATTTCTACTCCACAAGCTGCTTCATGAGTGATTCAAACAAGCTTGAGCACTTCGGCCCAGTGACGTCAGTCCCCTTCCCCAAGAAACCACTGAGTCTTACTCTGGAGACACACCACCTGGATTGTCTATGCAAACCAAGATTCATGTAAAAAGCCAGTGATACCACCACTGGCCCCCCGAGCGCCTCGTCAGAAGACAGACTCAGTCACTCCTGCTCTAGCACCCCCTGTGCTGCTGAACCACCAACGAGGGGGTGGGGGCCGCAGGCCACGAGATCTATTCCTGGGGTCCCCAGAGATACAAGACATTTCACAGATGGCTCAGAAATATCATCTAAGTTGTAACTGGGGAATAAGTGAAAAAAGATTGCTAATCTTTCATTAGAGGTACAGGGAAGGTCCATCAGCTTCAATGGAGATGAGGTCACTAATATTTCCCTTAAAAAAGTATTCTTGCCCATAAATATCAAAAACATCTACACAATAAAAACTTGCAGGCCTGAACAGTCAGGTACCATTTTTTAATTATCAAATTGTCAAGGCTTGGGAAAAATATAAGAGCATGCAGTGTCGATGAGAACTTGGGGATGCAGGTGCTCTCAGACAGAGCTGGCTGAGCTGTGCTGGAGGACGGTCTGAGAAAGTGCATCAAAGGCTTTGAAAAATGCATGTCATTCAACACAGTGATCCCACTCCTGGGAATAGCCCCAAGAAAACAAAGATCAACACAAATACTGAGCTAGAAAGATATTAATACTTTCTTTTTGTGAAAGCTTAATGCCGTCCAGCAACTTGAAGACTGAACAAGTAAATTATGTTAGAGCCACATCATGGGTTACTGTGCAGACATTAAAACAATGCTGCAGAAACGTGAATACTGACATATAAAAATTATGATACACTGTTGCACAGACTAAAAGCAGATTATAAAGTAATAGTAGGTGATGATTCTATTTTGGCTTTAAAAATACTAATATAGGGTTGTGCAGGTATCCAAAAAAGATCAGGAAGGCAATATACCAAGATTTGGTTAACAGAGGTTGGTTCTAAAAGTAGGATTATAACTGCTTCTTATGTTCTGTTTTCAGCTTCTATTTTTAATGATTTTTTTCAATATGGAGGATGTATCACTTTTGTAATTAAGAAAAAACAATTAAAAAGTTCTTTTTTTTTCAAGAAAAATATCCAAACTATAAGCTGACTACTAAGTGACCTCCTAAAGCTCAAAGTGTTTATACTCTGTGCAGGGTCTGTATTGTACTCCTAAGGCAACTCCAACAGGGAATAAAAAATCCTCTTTCCTCTCTACCAAGAGGGGCACCTCCATATCAGTAGCAGGAAAAATAAACGAGTGGTCTAGGGGTCAGCCATGGCCTGGGTGGCTCACCTTTCTTGCCACAGTTTTTTGGCGAGAAACTGCAGGTACACGGATGGCGAGATGGAGGGCCGCTCCAGCAGAGACACATCTGCTTTGCACAAGCTCCAGAGGAAGTCAGCTTCTCGGTGAACCATGCTGGGCCCAGACTGCCTTGTCTTGGAATTCACGTTGTTCACTGCTGGCCTATCCACCTCCAGGATGCCGCAGTCTTCCGGACTGTGCTCTGCCTTCACGTAGTTCTGAATGAAAAAGAGCTTTGGCTTTCCTACGAGATAAGGGCATGCGTCTCCCATGAACATCTCCCTGATGTGATCTAAGGGTAACCCTGAGGGAGACGGATCCACACCAAACACGCTGTGGGAGCTCCCTCGGCTCATCAGGACACAGACGAAGCTGTCGTAGTCTTGATGACGAGGCATACTGGCAACTTTGCAGAGAATCTGAATTATGTCATTCATCGTTAGAAGCAGGAAACACTGGACATCATAGCCCAGGGAAGTGAAGGTATTCCGAAGAAGCTCTGGGGGAAAAAAACAGACAAGTATGTAAGCATGGATATGGACACATCTGCAGAGCTCCGATCCAAACCTAGATCCAAACCGCTGCAGAAAGGGTGGTATGGGTCACGAGACCCCTCATCACCACCTGCTGCGGGATGATCTGGAGGCCCCAAGTCATTTCCAGACTCTCCAGTTCCTTCCTCTTGTGACCTGCTTCCCAGTGTAACCTCCGACTATGCACTGAGAACCCTTGGCCAAGATTTCCTATAGCGTCCCCAGAGATTCTTCTAGTTTCCAGGAATGACCTTGACTTTGACTCCAGAAGCTGTAGAATGCAGTAGGAAAAGCAGACTGTGTCTGCTGACCTAGCCACACGGAGGGGCAGCATGATCTTTAGGAAGTGGGTCTTCCTAGCTCTAAATGGAAGTGGTGATACCCACCCTATGAGAATGCCGTAAGGACTGAATGAGATAATTAATACAAATAAAGCTCCTGGTGCTCAATGAAAATTCGTTCCTATTCTCTTTTCTAAAACGTTTGTGTCCATATTCTAGAAGTCTCTATAGCCTTGGAACCCCAGACACTCTGTGAAGTCCATTTCTTTCCCATCTGCTCAGTTTACCTTCATTGGAGAAATAAACACAGCCTCCTGAATTGTTTTATCTTTCTAACAGTAGAGAGACATCTTTCTCTTCCTCACTTGAAAATTCCACACTATTTGACTCACCCATTTGGTTTCTGTTCCTTGTCTAACAGATGCCTCCAGTTTTTATTCATTTGCAGGGCAAAAAAAAAAAAAACAAAAAACTGTTCTGTCCAAAGCCCAGAGGCTAAACAAGCATCAACTAATTCAGGTTGTCACCCACACTATTAGCTCATGAACTTCTCTGGGTTTGTTTCCACAGCTTACGATTATGTGCCCACCTCTCTTTTTCCCCTGAGGAACGGTCTTCCAGAAGCCTATCATGCATTCACCCCAAACCAAATAACACAATAGTAATTAGAACAGACATTTCTTCCCATCTTCCCTTCCGGGACAAAGGGATCCCATCTCCTACTAGTTTAAAAATCACAGAAAAGCATCAAGAGGAAATACATAAATGAAGGTACCACGTAAAAATACAGAGATATTATTCCCTTTTCTTGAATGTGAACCACACTTGGTAACTCATTTCTAATGCGTAGAATGTGACAGGAGGGATACTATGACTTCCAAAGCTAGATCCCGAAAAGGATATGGCTTCCACCTGGTTCTTTCTTTCTTTTGAACTGCTCACACTAGGGGGAACCAGCTGCCGTGCCCGGAAACACCCAAGCAGTCCTGTGGACAGCCCACAGGAAGAATGAAAACCTTCCACCGCCTCCCAGCCACGTGAGTGACCACCTGCGAAGAAGATCCTCTAGTCCCACTTGAGCATCAGATGACCTTGGCTGACAACTGGACACTCCCTCCTGAGACACTGTAGGCCAGAACAGCCCAGCTAAGCCACTCGTAGATTCCCAACGCACAGAAACTGGGAGAGATATTAGTATTGGTCTTCTAAACCACTAAATTTTGGAGTGATTTGCACACAATATTAGATAAATAAATCATCAGCTCAGTCCTTTGGTCTCTCCTGTCAGGAAAAGGGAATGGCAATAACCAAGACTTAAGACTATAGTGGGACTACTTCTCTGCCTAGCCCTCAGGTAACGCTGAAATAAATTAATTATGTGTATCACATAATAATGAAGAGATATAAAGAAGGTGCCAAGCTCCTTAAAACCCTATGATAAATAAGTATTATCAGGGAAATAAAGGACATGATGATACACGGGTTGCTGATATTCTATTAAGTAACTCGCAGGTCTTCACAGAAACGCAGCGCAGCAGAAAGGGCTCCGGGGCCCTGCCCCAGCCGGGCTCCGAGGTGGCGGGCAAGGGCTCGGCTCCCAGCACTGCCTTCGGGATGAAGCCCAGGAGTGCACATCGAGAACACCTGGACTAGGTCCTCAGTTCCACCACTGCTGTGTCATCCCTGGCGGTTTCTTTCAGGGCTCGCCTATCTCTAATCATGGAATATTTTCTCCTCTAGGGGGCAGAAGCAAATAGGGGAATACTAGGCTCAAAGCTTTGTTTACTTGTTCTTTTTCAAAACCTTCTCGGGGCTGATAGATTTCCTCCCTTATCAAAGTCCTTGAAAGAAAGACAAATACCAAATGACATCACTTGTGAGAAATCTAATGAACAAAATGAACTAACAAGGAAAACCGAACTAGAGATATGGAAACCTGGAACTGACTGACAGCAGCCAGAGGGAAGGAGGGCGGGAGGTAAGGGTGGGAAGGGGAAGGGACCAGTCAAAGAATATGAATAAATGACCCAGGGACATGGACAACGGTGTGGGGATTGACTGTGGGAGCGGGGCGTGGGCTGGGCAGAGGAGGACAAGACGGGGAAACTGGGACAACTGTAATAGAATAAACAAGAATAATTTTTTTTTAAAGTACAAATTGCTAGTTTCAGAACAGTCATGGGGATGTAAAGCACAGCATAGGAAATACAGTCAATATGATTGTAATAACCATGTATGATGTCAGATGGCTACTAGATTTACTGGGCTGATCGCTTAGTAAATTATATAATGTCTAATCACTCAGTTATACACCTGAAACTAATATAATACTGTATGTCGTGTTACCAAAAAAACAAAAAAATCATTTCAAAAAATAATAAAAAGGCTAAAGCAAAGAAAGAAAAAGGAAGAAAGCCATAGTCTGTGTTTCCATGCTGACATACGGAGGAACTGTCAGCTCAGGACAAATGCTGACTTGTGCCTTCTACCGCCTTACTTTATCAGGACCCCCTGTTCCTGCAGGTTCCTGCTGGAGCAGCAGCTGCCATGCGGCAGTGAGCAGGCAAGCTGCATAGCACAGGGCAAAAGAGGAACCAGTCTTGGAACTACAAGTTCTGAGTTTAAGTCCTGCCTCTTCACCTTACTTGCTGGATCTGAACTTTGCCTAGTCCTGAAAGAAAGTAGCTTACACCAGCAGAGGGGCTGAGAAAGGGATGGGAATCTGAGGGCAGGGCAGGAAGTCCTTACCACATAGAACAGGAGAAAAAAGGCTAAAGATGGAGGTGAAGCCAAAACCCACTCAGGTCCTCAATGCCAAGAACAGGACAATAAGAACTCAAGTCCGGATGGGGCCTCAGACCTAGACAGAGCATCCTTTAAATATCCCTATGGAAAGAGAGTCATTGAAGAGACTTGCCTATAATCATTGAGGCTGACGTTTCCCCTTAATATCATAGCTTTCCTCTATCAGACAGTGAGGCAGCGTGGTGACTGATGTCAGCTAGGAACCGCAACGTTCTTTGTTGGGCCAGCAAGAATGCAGAGATAGTCCAGGCTATTTCACAGGATCAAGGGGGTAGTAACTACATGACAAGTTACAGCCTTAGTTTACTCATCTATAAATTGGGATTAATACTAATGCCTACACTACATTCCTCAAAAGGTGACTGTGAGGGTCCCATGAGGTTTCTGCCAAGACACTGTGCAAACTGTGAGTGCTTACAACCATAACATAATAATTTTAAAGAAAACAAAGGCAGCCATCTCAAATTGCAAATCGCAGAGCCTGCAGAGTTCCTCTCCCACGGAACCCAGAGAGGTCTCTGTATTCGAAACCAAAGGTTCAGAGCAGTCAGATTCTGTGTCCTTTTATAGCATCATAACCTCCTTGTACTTCCTTTCCCACAAATAGGGAAGAAAAACTTGGGGGAGGAAGACAATATAAAACTTCAACAACTGCAGTTCTCATTCTACTCCCCCTGGAAATTCCACTCCTGACCCAGCCCTTTCTTTGTTAACTTGAACTGTTTGTCAGAAACCAACTTTCTAATATGATGGGGGGTTTTCAAGCTGTGCAGTGCAGTTAGGATGGGTCTGGTGAGTGTAGGTGACAGCGGGGACTCAAGAGTTGGAACATTTTAGTTTAAGGTAAATAGTTAATAAGTCTAGTAGGTAATGCATATGTTAAAGCTGTTGTTTCAGAATCTGCGGCTAAGGCCCATCACTCCAGGAGAGACAGCCGACCTCCTGGGCACCACTAGATATTACTGCCTGGGGAACAAGTGGAGGCATCCGGGCCACTGAGTTCCAGACAACCACCCGCCCCCGGGAACAGCTAACTGCCCGGGACGAGAATGCTGCAGTTTCTTTCACCTAATTTTCCCTGAATTTCGAAACCCCTCACCACACCTAGTTTATTCCCTGTTATAAAAAGGCTGGCTTGGAAAGAAAATATAAGATGGTTTTATTAGGGTACCAACCCACGGTCTTCTCAGATTGCTGAACATCTGCATAACTGCCCATAAAGATTCAATCCCTGTCTCTTATTGGGTTTGGCACGTGACAGGCAGCACGAACCTGGTGTCTTTTCCTGTTTCAAAGCGTCAGCAGCAGCTGCAAAGCATCTCAGCAAACTACCTGTAGGCTTTCGCATTTCCTGTTGCTCCGTTAGAAGATAAAGTTTACTTATTCAAGATTTACAAGGGAAATAGCACCTGCTAGAAAAAGCAAAGTCTTTGCTTGGTGAAAAAGTGCAGAAAAATCTCCAAGCTTCTCAGAAAGAGGCAGGTGGAGAAGAGAGAAGAGGAAACACTTCCTAATCTGCAAACACCATCTTCTATCCAGGAGCGACAAACCAACCAGAGCTCCAGATCAAGGCTGAGAGCTCATCAGCCTGTAATGCAGGCCATTCACTCCTCCATTCCTGACAAGATCAAAGGTCAGCACTATGTCAGGGCACTGCAAGAACCAGGACGTGACACTGGCCTCGCTTTGCAAGGTCACTGACACAGATGACACAACACCAGGACTTGTTTTTAATTCCACCAAACTGAGAGAACTGGCCCCAAATCCCTACGCCTCCACATCTGCTCCAAGAAGAGGTTACTGAGGATTCTTCTTGAGAACAAGCCACTCCAAAAATCACCTTCTCTTTCACAACATGGCTCTGAGAACAGACTCCATCT